AGAGTCAGAGTGTGTGGCCTTCAGATTAGCACAAAAACAGTGCGTAGAGAGATTCATGGAAATAAGTTTCCATGGTCGAGCAGCTGTATCCAAGCCTTACATCATCAAGTGCAATGCAAAGCGGCAGATGCAGTGGTGTAAAGCACGCCACCACTGTACTCTAGAGCAGTGGAGATGTGTTCTCTAAAGTGAGAAATCCCACTTCTCTGTCCGGCAATCCAATCGACGTGCCTGGTTTTGGCAGTTGCCAGGAGAATAGTACTTGCCTGACTGCATTGTGCCAAGTGTAAAGTTTGGTGGAGGGGGGATTTTAGTGTGGGGGTTGTTTTTTCAGAGGTTGGGCTTGGCACCTTAGTTCCAGTGAAGGGAACTCTTAAGGCGTTCATAAAGACATGGATGAGCGAGTTTGTGGTGGGGGAACGTGACTGGCCTGCACAGAGTCCTGACCTCAACCCAACAGAAACACCTTTGGGATGAATTAGAGTGGAGACTGTGAGCCAGGCCTTCTCATCTTACATCAGTGCCTGACCTCACAAATACGCTTCTGGAAGAATGGTCAAACATTCCCATAGACACTCTCCTAAACCTTATGGACAGCCTTCCCAGAAGAGTTGAAGTTGTTATAGCTGCAAAGGATGGGCCAACTCAATATTGAACCCTACGGACTAAGACTGGGATGCCATTAAAGTTCATGTGTGTGTAAAGGTAAGCACCCCAATACTTTTGGCAATATAGTGTATATAACATGCATTATGTATTATATATACAATTTACCAGTTATGCTAATATAGCATGAACTGTAGATAATAATAATTTTTAGCAAGCACTTAAAATAATTTGCAAATACTTTCAAATGTTCTACCATGGTTAAAAAAAAGGTTGAGAAAGGCAAATTTACCTAAAGAGGAATATTTTCTTAATACTTAGGATAATTGCATAGCATTTAGAGGAAAGTTGATTTTTGGGTCCCTTTGATCCTTGCCTCTGTGACTGTTGACTTTGTTTTGTTCTCTAATTGCTCTACTGTGTTGCAGCAAGCAAGTACCATATGTCTAATACAGTGGTTACACATACTAAAGAATGAAGAAGGCAAAAATGTATGTATCAACTTACAGAGTGGAGAAAATAATGATTTGATCCTCTGCAGATTTTGTAAATTTGCCCACTTACAAAGAAATTAAGGGTGTATAATTGTTTTATTAGAGGAAGGTTAAATGATAGAAACAGAATATCAACCAAAATCCAGAAAAAAAAAACATGATACAAATTTTATAAATTGAGTTGCAGTTCAGTGAGTAAAATAAGTATTTGATCCCCTACCAACCAACAATAATTCTGGCTCCCATAGACTGGCTATATGCTCTTGTGGTGCACAGATTAGTCCTGTCAATTTAAGAAGGTGCTCCTAATGACAACTCATTATGTGTACAGTATAAAAGACACCTGTCTACAGAATCTCTCTCTTCCATTCAAACCTCACCATCACCATGAGCAAGACCATATCACTTTCTCCCAAACCTTCTCTGAATCATTTAGATGTTCATTGGCAAACTTCATATGGGCCTGTACATGTGCCTTCTTGAGGAGGGGGACTTTGCGGACACTTTCAATCCATGGCGGCGTATTGTGTTACCAATGGTTTGTTTGGTGACTGCGGTCCCAACTGCCTTGAGATCATTTACAAGCACCTACCAATTAGTTCTGGGCTGATTCCTAACTTTTCTCATGATCACCCTTACCCCCATGAGGCGAAATCTTGCATGGAACTCCAGACCGAGGGCGATTGATGATTATTTTGTATTTCTTACATTTGTGAATAATTGCTCCAACAGTTGTCTCCTTTTAATGGTCTTATAGCCCATTCCAGCCTTGAGCAAGTCTACAGTCTTGTCCCTGACGTCCTTTGACAACACTTTGGTCTTGCTCATGGTGATGGTGAGGTTTGAATGGAAGAAAGAGATTCCTTAGACAGGTGTCTTTTATACTGTACACATAATGAGTTGTCATTAGGAGCACCTTCTTAAATTGATATACTGTATAATAATACTGTATAAATACTGTATAATAATATGGTCAGATGAGGCCAAAATTGAGCAATTTGGCATGAACTCAACTTGCCATGTTTGGAGGAAGAAAAATGCTGACTATGACCCTAAGAACACCATCCCTACAGTCAAACATGGAGGTGGAAACATTATGCTTTGGGGCTCTTTCTCTACTACAGGTACAGACCGATTTTGCCACATTGAGGAGCCAATGGATGGGGCCATGTATTGTAAAATCTTGGATGAGAACCTTCTTCCCTCAGCCAAAACACTGAAGCTGGGTCCTGGATGGGTCTTCCAGCATACCGCCAAGGCAACAAAGGAGTGGCTCAAGAAGAAGCACAGTAGCTCCCCTGGTGGTATTCCCGAGTGTAGCTCAGGGTAAAGTTTCAGTACCATAAGCGGTAACCCCGAGCTACACTCGGGCTTACCATGCGGCGCTGCTCCCGGATCTGTTCTTCTCTTACCTTGCCCTGCGCTCCCGCGATGTCCCTCCTGCAGTGTCTCCTGTAATGTCCTCCGGAAGATCTGTCTTCTGGGTTCCGTCCCCTGCGACGTCGGGACGTACGGGGACGGAACAGAGGGAAATTTGAAAATGGCAAAAAGTGACATTCACTAAATACACTAAAATCACATAGTAAAACATTACTGTATCAAACCATTTCACATACATTTTGTCCCTACTGCTTTGTCCTGTGCCCTGCCTGCATTTTTACAGTTCTTTCTGCCTGGAAACTGAGAAATGTCCATGACGTCCAAAAAGCGTCCCTTTATGTCAAAAGTGGTTTTAGACCAGCTAGAGAACAGCGATAGTAAATTAGAACTACTTGCAGAATTGAGTGATAATGATTCGTGGGAAAATTCGTCATCAGACACTGAAAACGATTTTGCGACTTTGCTCAGTGATGTGCGAACTTGGCACTCTATTTCAAATTTCAGTGTTTTTGGTTTGATTATATTATTGAATTAAATTTATTATTATTATATTATCATTTTTTATGATTATTTATTAAATTATAATTTATGATTTTGTGTTTCAAATTTTAACATACCCGGGGGATGTTTACTAGACTCTTGTTCGGACAGATTTCAGTGAGTTATTCCTAAAAATTACAGGCCTACAATAAAAAAAAAATACATATTTCCATGCAAAAAAAAAAATATACTGCTTTGAGCACAGAAATACGGACATAATCAGACCGCTAGGGAGGTTAACCGTTTCAATACCGTGCAATTTTACACCTTCCTGCCCAGGCCAGTTTTCAGGTTTCAGCGCTCTCACACTTTGAATGACAATTGCGCGGTCATACAACATTGTACCCAAACTAAAATTTGATCATTTTCTTCACACAACTAGAGCTTTCTTTTGGTGGTATTTAATCACAGCTGGGGTTTTTATTTTTTGCTAAATTAACAAAAAAAGACCAAAAATTTTGAAAAAAAAACACATTTTTCTTTGTTTCTGTTATAAAAGTTTACAAATAAATAATTGTTCTTCATAAATTTAGGCCGAGATGTATTCTGCTACATGTCATTGGTGAAAATAACCCAAATTAGGATGTATTTTTTAGTTTGTAGGAAAGTTATAGAGTTCACAAACTATGGTATAGATAAGAATATTGATCAATCCTGAAGTACTGACAGCCAATCTAATATCTTGAGGTCCAAAAATGTCAGAACAGTACAGATATCCCCCAAATGACCCCTTTTTGCAGAGTAGACAGTCCGACGTACTTCATAAGAGGCATGGCGAGTTTTTTTAAGTTGTATTTTTTTGTCATAATTTTTCGGAAAATGAAAAAATTAAAAAAATTATTTTCACTATTTATTTTTTTTACATACTGTCACCAGTGCAGTACAGCGTCATCATATAACTGGCATGGCGTTGAACAGCGACACTGACTGGTGACAGTATGAAAAAAAAAAAAAAATATATATATTTTTTTAATTTTTTTATTATATTTAATTTTTTATTACATTTTTTTAATTTTTTTTAAGATTTTTTTTCATATTTTACTATGACCAAAATAGTACAATGTTACCATAGTAACACTGTACTACTTTGGGGAAGTGATCAGTATTTTTTTTTTTTTTTTTTTTACAAAATTTGCGTATAGCAAAGAATTACTTTGCTATAAGCAAGCATTTACCTGAATGAAATCGATTCATTCAGCTTTTTTTTTTTTTTTTTTTTTTTTGTGCTTAGCTGTGATTTGGTCACAGCTAATCACATGACATGTGCATGTGATTAGCTGTGACCATTCACAGCTAGGCACTAGTATACAATGGATGGCATCATGAATGAAGCCATCCATTGTATACAACTGTCATGTGACCTGCTGTGATTGGTCACAGCAGGTCACATGGTACCGGCAACGGGAGCCGGTACTCGGATCTGTCATCGGCTGTGTCCGAGGTGCACGGGCGGTGACAGATCGCACTGCTGCGTCGCTCTGCAACCGCGCAAACCGCGCATGTGCGGTGACATGTGTGCATGACACACTCTGAACCTGGCAGCAGCATGGGGAGGCGGTACAGGGGCCCATGACAGATTACGGGCCTGGCAGCAGCATGAGGAGTCGGTACGGGGGCCCATGACACACTCTGGACCTGGCAGCAGCATGAGGAGGCGGTACAGGGGCGCATGACAGATTACGAGCCTGGCAGCAGCAACTTGGACAGGAGGACGTTCAGCTTCTGCACCGTCGGGTGCGTGTTCGCAAACTGTTGTCTCTTGGAAACGGATTCCAAGAAAGACTGCTGACGGAATCCGTGAAGAGGAGTAGCAGGAGAAGGAGCATCTGAACGAGCGGAATATGCCAACAAGCGACAAAAGGGGCCCATGACAGATTACGGGCCTGGCAGCAGCATGAGGAGTCGGTACGGGGGCCCATGGCAGATTAGGGGCCTGGCAGCAGCTATGGGGGAGGCCCGTAATCTGCCAGCACCCTATGACAAAAAATGGAACCCACCAGCAGTGTGAGGAGACCTGAAAGTGGCACATGGCAGAGTGTGGCGATGGAGACAGCAGCAATGGGAGGCCGTACAGGGACCCATGAGAGACTCTGGACCTGGCAGCAGCATGAGGAGGCGGTATAGGGGCCCATGGCAGATTAGGGGCCTGGCAGCAGCTATGGGAGGCCCGTAATCTGCCAGCACCCTATGACAAAAAATGGAACACACCAGCAGTGTGAGGAGACCTGAAAGTGGCACATGGCAGAGTGTGGCGATGGAGACAGCAGCAATGGGAGGCCGTACAGGGGGACCCATGAGAGACTCTGGACTTGGCAGCAGCATGAGGAGGCGGGTATAGGGGCCCATGGCAGATTAGGGGCCTGGCAGCAGCTATGGGAGGCCCGTAATCTGCCAGCACCCTATGACAAAAAATGGAACACACCAGCAGTGTGAGGAGACCTGAAAGTGGCACATGTTTGGGGCATGATTCATGGCGGATTTAGTCAGTTGTGTCAGGAACTGGTGGTTTGAAATCCAGACTAATCCACGCCTGATTCATTTTCACAAACGTGAGTCTCTCCACACTTTAGGGGTGGACAGTCGTGTCCTCCGCGGAGTTGCAATACCTCCTGCCGCACTAAACACGCGCTCCGATGCCACGCTACTGGCCGGGCATGACAGCCTTTCAAGGGCAAATTCAGCTAGTTGGGGCCAAAGGTCAAGTTTCGTTGCCCAGTAGTCAAGGGGATTGTCTACCTCGGTTGGCAGGGTGCTGTCCAAGTAGGCCTAAGCCTGTTGTTGAGGTCCTGCTCCAGGTCCACCTGATGCTGCTGCTGCTGCTGCTGCTGCGGCTGGTTAGTAGTTTCCTCACTGTGCTGGTGAAGAAAGCTACTCATCATCGACTGCAGACTGAGGCAGCTGCTGCTGGTGGAGCTGCCACTGCTCCTACCACCCCCCACCCCTCCCCTGCTGCCATGGCAGCGGAAACGCGAGCGCACAGGGCCCACAGTGTCTGAGGATGGACGTTGGCGCAGACAGGCAGGCAGAGACCAGCTGACTACATAGGTGTTTTTTTATAGTACGTTATTTTGGCCTCCCTCTCAGCAGCAGGTGTGAAAAAGGCCACCATTTTTGAACGGTAGCGAGGGTCCAACAAAGGTGGACAGCCAAAAGTCATCCCTCTGTCTGATGGTTATTATTCGGCTGTCGCTACGCAAGCAAGCGAGCATGCTATGGGCCATTTGTGCCAAGGAATGCGAGGGACTCCCTGCCTCCATCTCCACAGCATACTGCCACGGTGCGTCTGGGTCCTCTGTCTCCTCTTCCTCCTCCTCCTCTACCAGATGCTCCTGCTCCTCCACTCCTGTCCGCTGAGTGGAAAAACCACCCATTTCACTCAATAATTCCTGAGCACCAATGTCCTTCTCTACCTCCTCCTCTTCTTCCTGTCCTGCCCCCACAGGGGTCATGTGGCGTTGAGATCTGTGCGCCACGTCTACCGCACCCTGACCAGCCATTGTTAACAGCATTTGTTCCAGGACGTGCAACAGAGGAATGACGTCGTTCATCCCATAGTCCTGCCGACTCACGAATAGCGTGGCCTCCTCAAAGGGCCTGAGCAAGCGCAGGTGTCACGCATGAGCTGCCAATGGCTGACATCTAAGTTACACAGGGAGTACCTTTATCCGCTTTTAACATCAGGAAATCTGTGATGGCCTTTTGCTGTTCGTAAAGGCGGTCTAACATATGTAGGGTTGAATTCCACCTTGTTGCAACGTCACAGCATGAGGAGTCGGTACGGGGGCCCATGGCAGATTACGGGCCTGGCAGCAGCAATGGGAGGCCCGTAATCTGCCAGCACCCTATGTCAAAAAATTCAACACACCAGCAGTGTGTGAGGAGACCTGAAAGTGGCACATGGCAGAGTGTGGCGATGGAGACAGCAGCAATGGGAGGCCGTACAGGGACCCATGAGAGACTCTGGACTTGGCAGCAGCATGAGGAGGCGTATATAGGGGCCCATGGCAGATTAGGGGCCTGGCAGCAGCTATGGGAGGCCCGTAATCTGCCAGCACCCTATGTCAAAAAATTCAACACACCAGCAGTGTGAGGAGACCTGAAAGTGGCACATGGCAGAGTGTGGCATGGAGAGCAGCAATGGGAGGCCACAGGGACCCATGCAGCTGGATGCAGCAGGAGGAGGGCGGTACAGGGGCCCATGGCAGATTAGGGGCCTGGCAGCAGCTATAGGAGGCCCGTAATCTGCCAGCACCCTATGTCAAAAAATTGGAACACACCAGCAGTGTGTGAGGAGACCTGAAAGTGGCACATGGCAGAGTGTGGCGATGGAGACAGCAGCAATGGGAGGCCGTACAGGGACCCATGAGAGACTCTGGACCTGGGCAGCAGCATGAGGAGGGCGGTATATAGGGGCCATGGCAGATTAGGGGCCTGGCAGCAGCTATAGGAGGCCCGTAATCTGCCAGCACCCTATGTCAAAAAAATTCAACACACCAGCAGTGTGTGAGGAGACCTGAAAGTGGCACATGGCAGAGTGTGGCGATGGAGACAGCAGCAATGGGAGGCCGTACAGGGACCCATGACAGACTCTGGACTTGGCAGCAGCATGAGGAGGCGGGTATAGGGGCCTATGGCAGATTAGGGGCCTGGCAGCAGCTATGGGAGGCCCGTAATCTGCCAGCACCCTATGTCAAAAAATTGAACACACCAGCAGTGTGTGAGGAGACCTGAAAGTGGCACATGGCAGAGTGTGGCGATGGAGACAGCAGCAATGGGAGGCCGTACAGGGACCCATGAGAGACTCTGGACTGGCAGCAGCATGAGGAGGAGGGTATAGGGGCCCATGGCAGATTAGGGGCCTGGCAGCAGCTATGGGAGGCCCGTAATCTGCCAGCACCCTATGTCAAAAAATTCAACACACCAGCAGTGTGTGAGGAGACCTGAAAGTGGCACATGGCAGAGTGTGGCGATGGAGACAGCAGCAATGGGAGGCCGTACAGGGACCCATGAGAGACTCTGTGGACCTGGCAGCAGCATGAGGAGGCGGTATATAGGGCCCATGGCAGATTAGGGGCCTGGCAGCAGCTATGGGAGGCCCGTAATCTGCCAGCACCCTATGTCAAAAAATTGAACACACCAGCAGTGTGTGAGGAGACCTGAAAGTGGCACATGGCAGAGTGTGGCGATGGAGACAGCAGCAATGGGAGGCCGTACAGGGACCCATGACAGACTCTGGACCTGGCAGCAGCATGAGGAGGCGGTATAGGGGCCCATGGCAGATTAGGGGCCTGGCAGCAGCTATGGGAGGCCCGTAAATCTGCCAGCACCCTATGTCAAAAAATTCAACACACCAGCAGTGTGTGAGGAGACCTGAAAGTGGCACATGGCAGAGTGTGGCGATGGAGACAGCAGCAATGGGAGGGCCGTACAGGGACCCATGAGAGACTCTGGACTTGGCAGCATGATGAGGAGGCGGTATATAGGGGCCCATGGCAGATTAGGGGCCTGGCAGCAGCTATGGGAGGCCCGTAATCTGCCAGCACCCTATGTCAAAAAATTGAACACACCAGCAGTGTGTGAGGAGACCTGAAAGTGGCACATGGCAGAGTGTGGCGATGGAGACAGCAGCAATGGGAGGCCGTACAGGGACCCATGAGAGACTCTGGGACCTGGCAGCAGCATGAGGAGGGAGGGTATATAGGGGCCCATGGCAGATTAGGGGCCTGGCAGCAGCTATGGGAGGCCCGTAATCTGCCAGCACCCTATGTCAAAAAAATTCAAACACACCAGCAGTGTGTGAGGAGACCTGAAAGTGGCACATGGCAGAGTGTGGCGATGGAGACAGCAGCAATGGGAGGCCGTACAGGGACCCATGACAGACTCTGGACCTGGCAGCAGCATGAGGAGGGCGGTATATAGGGGCCATGGCAGATTAGGGGCCTGGGCAGCAGCAGCTATGGGAGGCCCGTAATCTGCCAGCACCCTATGTGTCAAAAAATTGAACACACCAGCAGTGTGAGGAGACCTGAAAGTGGCACATGGCAGAGTGTGGCGATGGAGACAGCAGCAATGGGAGGCCGTACAGGGACCCATGACAGACTCTGGACTTGGCAGCAGCATGAGGAGGCGGTATATAGGGGCCATGGCAGATTTAGGGGCCTGGGCAGCAGCTATGGGAGGCCCGTAATCTGCCAGCACCCTATGTCAAAAAATTCTGAACACACCAGCAGTGTGTGAGGAGACCTGAAAGTGGCACATGGCAGAGTGTGGCGATGGAGACAGCAGCAATGGGAGGCCGTACAGGGGACCCATGACAGGGACTGACAGACTCTGGACCTGGACTTGGCAGCAGCATGAGGAGGCGGTATATAGGGGCCCATGGCAGATTAGGGGCCTGGCAGCAGCTATGGGAGGCCCGTAATCTGCCAGCACCCTATGTCAAAAAATTCAACACACCAGCAGTGTGTGAGGAGACCTGAAAGTGGCACATGGGCAGAGTGTGGCGATGGAGACAGCAGCAATGGGAGGCCGTACAGGGACCCATGACAGACTCTGGACCTGGCAGCAGCATGAGGAGGCGGGTATATAGGGGCCTATGGCAGATTAGGGGCCTGGCAGCAGCTATGGGAGGCCCGTAATCTGCCAGCACCCTATGTCAAAAAATTCAACACACCAGCAGTGTGTGAGGAGACCTGAAAGTGGCACATGGCAGAGTGTGGCGATGGAGACAGCAGCAATGGGAGGCCGTACAGGGACCCATGACAGACTCTGGACCTGGCAGCAGCATGAGGAGGCGGTATATAGGGGCCCATGGCAGATTAGGGGCCTGGCAGCAGCTATGGGAGGCCCGTAATCTGCCAGCACCCTATGTCAAAAAATTCAACACACCAGCAGTGTGTGAGGAGACCTGAAAGTGGCACATGGCAGAGTGTGGCGATGGAGACAGCAGCAATGGGAGGCCGTACAGGGACCCATGACAGACTCTGGACCTGGCAGCAGCATGAGGAGGCGGGTATATATAGGGGCCTATGGCAGATTAGGGGCCTGGGCAGCAGCTATGGGAGGCCCGTAATCTGCCAGCACCCTATGTCAAAAAATTCAACACACCAGCAGTGTGTGAGGAGACCTGAAAGTGGCACATGGCAGAGTGTGGCGATGGAGACAGCAGCAATGGGAGGCCGTACAGGGACCCATGAGAGACTCTGGACCTGGCAGCAGCATGAGGGAGGCGGTATATAGGGGCCTATGGCAGATTAGGGGCCTGGCAGCAGCTATGGGAGGCCCGTAATCTGCCAGCACCCTATGTCAAAAAAATGGAACACACCAGCAGTGTGTGTGTGAGGAGACCTGAAAGTGGCACATGGCAGAGTGTGGCGATGGAGACAGCAGCAATGGGAGGCCGTACAGGGACCCATGACAGACTCTGGACTTGGCAGCAGCATGAGGAGGCGGTATATAGGGGCCCATGGCAGATTAGGGGCCTGGCAGCAGCTATGGGAGGCCCGTAATCTGCCAGCACCCTATGTCAAAAAAAATTCAACACACCAGCAGTGTGTGAGGAGACCTGAAAGTGGCACATGGCAGAGTGTGGCGATGGAGACAGCAGCAATGGGAGGCCGTACAGGGACCCATGACAGACTCTGGACCTGGCAGCAGCATGAGGAGGCGGTATATAGGGGCCCATGGCAGATTAGGGGCCTGGCAGCAGCTATGGGAGGCCCGTAATCTGCCAGCACCCTATGTCAAAAAAATTCAACACACCAGCAGTGTGTGAGGAGACCTGAAAGTGGCACATGGCAGAGTGTGGCGATGGAGACAGCAGCAATGGGAGGCCGTACAGGGACCCATGAGAGACTCTGGACTTGGCAGCAGCATGAGGAGGCGGTATATAGGGGCCCATGGCAGATTAGGGGCCTGGCAGCAGCTATGGGAGGCCCGTAATCTGCCAGCACCCTATGTCAAAAAATTCAACACACCAGCAGTGTGTGAGGAGACCTGAAAGTGGCACATGGCAGAGTGTGTGGCGATGGAGACAACCCACCGACTGTTTTGCTCGCTGCCAAGCTGCCACCCTCTTCTCCTGATGATGCGGAAGCAATAGCCTGATGACGACGAGGCTGCCAAGTGCGATCAGCCTCATCATCATCAATTAGGGTCTCCGCCTAACACTACTAGCCCCCTCGGCTGCGTGTGGGTCAGGAGACAGAGACCTGTCTCTACACCGGCTACCGAGCCCACTCTCCTCGCCACTACTTCTTCGCCTGGCTGCTGAAGAGGCGGATGTCTCCCCCCGTTCCTGACCGCCCTCTGTTAGCTCTTCCTCACTGTACTGGATGACACCGGGAGCACTAGCCTCTGGCTGCGAATAGTGCTGCCTCGACCCCTTCCTCTGCTGCCACGTCTGCTCGCTCCTAAAACATTGCCTCCTCTGCCACTCCTCTGCATGTTGTCTGACATACTCTTTAATTAAACGATTCTGTGTCCCTGAGTAACAATTCTGTGTCCCTGAGTAAACGTTTCTGTGTCCCTGAGTAACGTTTCTGTGGCCCTAAGTAACAGTTCTGTGGCCCCTCAGTAACAATTCTGTGCCCTGTCCCTCAGTAACAATTCTGTGTGTCTGAGTAACAATTCTGTGTCCCTGTCTGTGTCCCTCAGTAACAATTCTGTGGCCCTCAGTAACAATTCTGTGTCCCTCAGTAACAATTCTGTGTCCCTGAGTAACAATTCTGTGGCCCTCAGTAACAATTCTGTGTCCCTCAGTAACAATTCTGTGTCCCTGAGTAACAATTCTGTGTCTGTGTCCCTGAGTAAGAATTTCTGTCTGTCCCTGAGTAACTAAGTTTCTGTGGCCCCTAAGTAACAGTTCTGTGGCCCTCAGTAACAATTCTGTGTCCCTGAGTAACAATTCTGTGTCTGTCCCTGAGTAACAATTCTGTGTCCCTAAGTAACGGTTCTGTGGCCCTCAGTAACAATTCTGTGCCCTGAGTAACAATTCTGTGTCCCCTCAGTAAACAATTCTGTGTCCCTCAGTAACAATTCTGTGTCTGTCCCTGAGTAACAATTCTGAGTGTGGCCCTGAGTAACAATTCTGTGTCCCTGAGTAACATTTCTGTGGCCCTAAGTAACGGTTCTGTGGCCCTCAGTAACAATTCTGTGTCCCTGAGTAACAATTCTGTGTCTGTCCCTGAGTAACAATTCTGTGTGTCTGTCCCTGAGTAACAATTCTGTGGCCCTGAGTAACGTTTCTGTGGCCCTAAGTAACAATTCTGTGGCCCTCAGTAAATTCTGTGTCTGTCCCTGAGTAACAATTCTGTGTCTGTCCCTGAGTAACAATTCTGTGTCCCTAAGTAACGTTTCTGTGGCCCTAAGTAACAATTCTGTGGCCCTCAGTAACAAATTCTGTAACAATTCTGTGTCCCTGAGTAACAATTCTGTGTCTGTCCCTGAGTAACAATTCTGTGTCCCTGAGTAACGTTTCTGTGGCCCTAAGTAACAATTCTGTGGCCCTCAGTAACAATTTTCTGTGTCTGTCCCTGAGTAACAATTCTGTGTCTGTCCCTGAGTAACAATTCTGTGTCCCTGAGTAACGTTTCTGTGGCCCTAAGTAACAATTCTGTGGCCCTCAGTAACAATTCTGTGTCTGTGTCCCTGAGTAACAATTCTGTGGCCCTAAGTAACGTTTTCTGTGGCCCTCAGTAACAATTCTGTGTCCCTCAGTAACAATTCTGTGGCCCTCAGTAACAATTCTGTGTCTGTCCCTGAACAATTTCTGTGGCCCTAAGTAACGGTTCTGTGGCCCTCAGTAACACAATTCTGTGTCCCTGAGTAACAATTCTGTGGCCCTAAGTAACGGTTCTGTGGCCCTCAGTAACAATTCTGTGTCCCTGAGTAACAATTCTGTGGCCCTAAGTAACAATTCTGTGGCCCTCAGTAACAAATTCTGTGTCCCTCAGTAACAATTCTGTGTGTCCCTGAGTCCCTGTGAGTAACAATTCTGTGGCCCTCAGTAACAATTCTGTGGCCCTGTAACTGTTCTGTCCCCTAAGTAACAATTCTGTGGCCCTCAGTAACAATTCTGTGTCCCTGAAGTAACGTTTATGTGGCCCTAAGTAACGGTTCTGTGGCCCTCAGTAACAATTCTGTGTCCCTGAGTAACGTTTTCTGTGGCCCTAAGTAACGGTTCTGTGGCCCCAGTAACAATTCTGTGTCCCTCAGTAACAATTCTGTGTCTGTCCCTGAGTAACAATTCTGTGGCCCTAAGTAACGGTTCTGTGGCCCTCAGTAACAATTCTGTGTCCCTGAGTAACGTTTCTGGCCCTAAGTAACGGTTCTGGCCCTCAGTAACAATTCTGTGGCCCTCAGTAACATTTCTGTGTCCCTGAGTAACAATTCTGTGTCTGGCCCTGAGTAACAATTCTGTGGCCCTAAGTAACGGTTCTGTGTCCCTGAGTAACAATTCTGTGTCCCTGAGTAACAATTCTGTGGCCCTAAGTAACAATTCTGTGGCCCTCAGTAACAATTCTGTGTCTGTCCCTGAGTAACAATTCTGTGGCCCTAGTAACGTTTCTGTGGCCCTAAGTAACAATTCTGTGGCCCTCTGTAGTAACAATTCTGTGGCCCTAAGTAACAATTCTGTGGCCCTAAGTAACAATTCTGTGTGTCCCTGAGTAACAATTCTGTGGCCCTAAGTAACGGTTCTGTGGCCCTCAGTAACAATTCTGTGTCCCTGAGTAACAATTCTGTGGCCCTAAGTAACGGTTCTGTGGCCCTCAGTAACAATTCTGTGGCCCTCAGTAACAATTCTGTGTCTGTCCCTGAGTAACAATTTTCTGTGGCCCTAAGTAACGGTTCTGTGGCCCTCAGTAACAATTCTGTGTCCCTGAGTAACAATTCTGTGGCCCTAAGTAACGGTTCTGTGGCCCTCAGTAACAATTCTGTGGCCCTCAGTAACAATTCTGTGTCTGTCCCTGAGTAACAATTCTGTGGCCCTAAGTAACGTTTCTGTGGCCCTAAGTAACAGTTCTGTGGCCCTCAGTAACAATTCTGTGTCCCTGAGTAACGTTTCTGTGCCCTAAGTAACAATTCTGTGGCCCTCAGTAACAATTCTGTGTCTGTCCCTGAGTAACAATTCTGTGGCCCTAACTAAACGTTTCTGTGGCCCTAAGTAACAGTTCTGTGGCCCTCAGTAACAATTCTGTGTCTGTCCCTGAGTAACAATTCTGTGGCCCTAACTAACGTTTCTGTGGCCCTAAGTAACAATTCTCTGGCACTCAGTAACAATTCTGTGTCTGTCCCTGAGTAACAATTCTGTGGCCTAACTAACGTTTCTGTGGCCCTAAGTAACAGTTCTGTGGCCCTCAGTAACAATTCTGTGTCTGTCCCTGAGTAACAATTCTGTGGCCCTAACTAACGTTTCTGTGGCCCTAAGTAACAATTCTCTGGCACTCAGTAACAATTCTGTCTGTCCCTGAGTAACAATTCTGTGGCCCTAATAACGTTTCTGTGGCCCTAAGTAACAGTTCTGTGGCCCTCAGTAACAATTCTGTGTCTGTCCCTGAGTAACAATTCTGTGGCCCTAACTAACGTTTCTGTGGCCCTAAGTAACAATTCTCTGGCACTCAGTAACAATTCTGTCTGTCCCTGAGTAACAATTCTGTGGCCCTAACTAGCGTTTCTTTGGCCCTAAGTAACGATTCTGTGGCCCTCATTAACAATTCTGTGTCCCTGAGTAATGCTTCTCTGTCCCTAAGTAACGTTTCTCTGTCCCCAAGTAACGTTTCTGTGGCCCTAACTCTGTCCCTAATACAGAGCGGTCTGCCTCTCTTGAATGACTGGAGGCAAATGAAGAATTCTAAAATGGCCGCTATTTATAGCTCGACCATTACACAGTGCTGGCTGCCTGGCTGCTGATTGGCTAATGCGATCATATGTCATTAAGGAATGCATTATGGGTCAGCGCGCCTTGTCTGCGCGCCTTCCCAGACATCCCCGCTCCGTCGCCGCACATGTCCGCCGCCATTTTAGGAAAAATTTTGATTCGCGCGTCCGAAGTAGGCTATTTTTCGGATTCGGCGCGAATCGAAAATTTTCCAATATTCGACTCGAATTCCACTTCGCCTACTTCGATTCGCTCATCTCTAGTTAAGGTCATAGAGTGGCCTAGCCAGCCTCCAGACCTTAATCCTATAGAAAATGTTTAGAAGGAGCTGAAACTTCGAGTTGC